TGAATAGTAAGCAGATTTTCCCTTTTCAGCATGATTTCAGAATGAAATTATTATCTATTTTTCTGAAATCTGGATTCACGTGTGGAAGTGACTCAAAGGCAACCATGACCATGCATTGAAAATATCCATAGGAAACCTCACTTCTATACAATAAATGAAAAAAGCAGAAAATCTTACATTAGATCGCGACCTTATCTCGAATAACATTTAAGCATAACACGACCTTGAGTTTGAGGTTAAGTTCATATTCGGATGTAAAATATTTTGCCTTTCTGATTTCCGGTAATAAAATGAGAGGTTTCCTGTAGAACCTTTTTGACTTGACCTTGAATATCCAGGTCATTCTCAGGAGCGTGGTCAACGTCAAGGTCAAGGTCACCTTTGTGCGACATCCCCATAAAAGAAAATTGTTTTCGATGTAAATCACATCAAAAGCTTGCTCCTCCAAAACCCTACAACTTGCGTTTTAACCTTTTTTCTAAAATGCGCAGTTTTAGAAATATTTGGATCGGGTGAGTAACATGGGACACTCTGTATAGCGTACAATGCCTCGCTTTTATACTGGAGACGGAAAAAGCAAGACATTCTAAATCCGAAGGCGACCTTGCCTCAAATAACATTTAACCTTACACGACCTTGACTTTGCGGTCAAGGTCACATTCGATCGTAATTTTTTTGCTTTTTCCATTTCCAGTATAAAAACGAGAGGTTTCCTTCAGAAACTTTTACTTTGAATGTCAAGGTCGTGGTCAAGAGCATCGTCTAGGTCGTGGTCAATGTCACCCTTGTGCGATCCCCACAAACTGAGCTGTCGAACATTTTTTGTTAGAGAAAATTGTTTTGGATGTGTTGCTTTGACCTCGAAATGGCATTGAAGGCAGTAATCAAGTTCGTAAGCAAGGCAATGTTCGGACGTAACATTTGTTCATCTTGTCAATTGCGATGTAAAAAGGGAGGACTTCTAATTGAAAATATTTACTTGATCTTGAAATGGCCTTGAAGGTCGAAATTATGATAATTGTGAAACTCATCAAAAATTTGCTCCCCCAAAACCCTACATTTTATGTTTCAACTTGTTTTTACAACAAGCGCAGTTTTTGAAATATGTAGGTCTGAAAATTAAAATCAGACGCTCTATATAGTGCACAGTGCCTCACTTTTATACTGGAGATAGAAAAAGCAGGAAATTCTACATCCGCATGCGACCTTGACCTCAAATAGCATTTAAGCATGGCACGACCTTGATTTTGTTGTCAAGGTCATATTCGGGTGTAAAATGTTTTGCATTTCCCATTTCCGATAAAAAATGAGAACTTTCCTTTAGTACCTTTTACCTTGACCTTGAATGTCAAGGTCATGGTCAAGGGCATAATTAAGGTCATGGCCAATGTAATGTCAAGGTCACCTTTGTGCGATCCCCACAAGCTGAGATGTCAAACCTTTTTATTCGAGAAAATTGTTTTCGATGTAAATGACATCAAAAGCTTGTTCCTTCAAAACCCTACAATTTGCGTTTTAACTTTTTTCTAAAATGCGCAATTTTCAAAATATTTAGATCGGCCGCGTAAAATGGGACACTCTATAGCGCACTTTTATACGGCAGATGGAAAAAGCAGAAAATTTTAAATCCGAATGCGACCTTGCCTCAAATAACATTCAACCTTGACACAACCTTGACTTTGCGGTCAAGGTCACATTCGGACGCAATTTTCTTGTCTTTTCCATTTCCAGTATTAAAATGGAAGTTTTTCTTCTGAAACTTTTGACCTTGAATGTCAAGGTCGTGGTCAAGGGCATCGTCAAGGTCGTGGTCAGGGCATGGTCAATGTCACCTTTGTGCGATCCGCACAAACTGAGTTGTCGAGCATTTTTTTGTTGGATTTGACCTTGTACTGGCATTGATGGAAGTAATCAAGTTCGTAACCAAGGCAATGTTGGGACGTAACATTTGTTCATCTTGTCAATTCCGATGTGACAAGCGAGGACTTCTGTTTGAAATATTTACTTGATCTTGAACTGACCTTGAAGGTCGAAGTTATCATAATTGTGAAATTCATAGAAAATTTGCTCTCTCAAAACCCTACAACTTACGTTTCAACTTTTTTTACAAAAAGCGCGGTTTTTGAAATATTTAGGTCGGGATATAAAAATGGGACGCTCTATATAGTACACAGTGCCTCACTGTTATACTGGAGATCGAAAAAGCAGGAAATTTTACATCGAAATGCGACCTTGACTTCAAATAACATTTAAACATGAGACAACCTTGACTTTGAGGTCTAGGTCATCTTCGGATATAAAACGTTTTGCCTCTCCCATTTCCAGTATAAAAATGAGAGCTTTCATTTAGAAACTTATGAATTGACCTTGAATGTCATGGTCAAAGGCATAGTCATGGTCAGGCGCATGGCCAATATAATGGTCGAGGTCGCCTTTGTGCGATCCCCACAGACGAGTTGTCAAACATTTTTGTCGGAGCAAATTGTCTTCGATGTGTTGATTTGACCTCGAAATGGCCTTGAATTTGTTCATTTTTTCAATTCCTATGTGGAAATATTATAAATATTCACTTGAACTTGAAATGACCTTGAAGGTCGTAGTCAAGGTCATTGTGAAAGTCATCGTAAGTTTGCTCCTTCAAAAGCCTACGACTTTCGCTTGCAACTTTTTTCTTGAATGCACAGTTTTTGAGATATTTTGGTCGGGAGATTAGAGTGGTATAGCGCACAGTGCTCGGTTTAAATGAACTACCATTGCATCATCTTCTGGCAAAGGGCGGTATTGATGCCGTTGCCAACTTGAGTAGCCTCTACGAGTTAACATTTTGAAAAAATACAAATATTCTACACTGCCTCCACACAGGTACAGATACCCCTTGATACCTACCATGTTTTTTATTGATACAGCCCTGGTGATAAAGTGGAATTTATCGGCATCTGTAAAATGTCGTATTTGCCAGAACCACGCTTACGCCCTATTAAAGGCTGTTCCTGGAATAGCTTTTTAAAGGGCGACCCTTTAATACGTGAAGCGCCTCTTTTGATTACGAAGGACTTGCAGAGTTCATTCTTAATTTTCCTTCAGAATTGCGCTATTTTTAAAACACTTCTTTCGGCGCGATATTTCGGTAACGAAAAGATGAAAAAATGAAAAAGACGCCGTATAATAGCATATCGCAAAACTTTTTGTCTTGACTTAGACATGGTTAAACTTTGCCAATTTCTAATTAGAGTTCTGGAAAATTAAAGCACCCCACGACTAGTTTAAAAATAAATGTATACATTTCTCTTAATGTTTCTTACAAAACAGGTGGGAAATGTTATAATTATGGATTTAGCTACGTTTAATTTATGTTTCATTTTACTTCCTACTCCACTGGGCGAGCAAGAAATCCCCCAGGCGTTTCTTATAAAGGGAATCTGTTAATTCTGAGATTAGACTTGTATAAACTAGTCCAAAAAAATCACGCATTTCACATGTTATGGCAACACCCTGTATAAATGTTTATTATTAAAGAAAGTTCTATACATACTTTCATTGAAAATATTATTGAAAACTACACTGCCACGCAAAATTAACTGGACAAACAAAATTTTGTTCAAATTAAATTTGAAATAAATGTTTAACTTTTGCATCAATTTCGTTAACGTTTTTGTTAAGTTGTATCTAATTTCATCATTATCGCCTTTCGATCTTGCTGTTATTCAAACCCGGGGAGGAAATAACAATTTCTAATTACCGATGATGTCACTGTAATTTTTTAAGTTAAATTGTTTATGGTTATGATTCGCATAGTTTTCTTACCAACGTTGTCGCTGTAATTTTTTAAATTAAATTGTTTATGGCTGTGACTCGCATGATTTTCTTCAAACAGCATATATTCTTCAATAATTGATATATTGACATGAATAAAAAAGGATCTGTTGAGAAAAGTTGAGGCTTAAAAATGTTATAGACACATCAGTAATCCAATGTTTTCACAGGGTGTTCAGATGTTTAGGGCAAAATGCACCTTTTAGTTACAACCTGTAGAACAACAAACGTTTTCAATTTTCGGCAAGATCGACAGTCGATAATGAAATTACCTACAACTTGATTAAAAAATTAACGAAATTGATGCAAAGGTTAAAAAGTTATTTAAAATTTAATTTGAACAGAATTATGTTGGTCCGGTTAATTTTGCGTGGCAGTGTATGTTCATTACCGAAACGTTCGCGAAACCAAAGCAAGCAGTTCAAAAAGCACGCCGATTCAGAAATAAACGGAAAGATTGAAATAATCAGGAAACCAAACTTAATTAACAAGTTTGGATGAAAAAAACCCAGCGAATTATTTGCTCAATTCGTAGCAATTACAGTTTACCCTTCATCTGGTTTTTTAGCTTTTTATCAGCAAGATACGCTTCACTGGGCTTCAAACCATTTCTGAGGATCGGAGTTCACATTCTGCTTATACAAGTGGAATTAATTTAATTCAGGTAATTCAAAAAACTAACCGGATTTAATTGATCAATATTCAGATTGCCTATAGGGTGCTTTAACATTTACGCAAGCTTTGAATAGAACAGAAAACGCTGTTTCTAAGGATTTTAATTTTTTTCATTTTCTTCTTTTTCATGACCACTTTGCATGGGTGTGGTTAAATTTTGAGGATCTATGCGGGCCATATTCTGCTTAAATTGGGTGGTATTGACGTGGATAACGTGTTTGGTGGCGCGTGCAATACAGTCCGTAAAATGATTCAATTGCATCCTGGTTGTGAACTCTCCCGTTTCAGCAATTAGAAACTGACCCCTAGATCATATGTTTCAATGGACATTCGCGAACTGAAGCCTCAATGAAACTCAGCCACATGTGTGCAAAATAGTGTTCAAAAATTTCGGCTACATACATAGCATCATGCACTGTAAGAGTCAATAAAAATTAAAAACTAAAGAAGAAACACTATGATGTCTTCTAATGACATCATATCTTAAGTGAATTTGACATTATATTCATTTATAGCTTCAAGTTTTCATAATAGATTATCTAGCTCAATTTGGTCCTTATGTTCCTCAGCTAACTCCTCGTATGTCTTAAAAGTATGCCTTCTGCTCCATGTAATGACCAGCCCTCCGCAGTAACATGTAAGGTAAAGAAGAAGCACGAATCCTAAGTATCCCATATGTCGGCTCATTTCATTGGTTAGTAGTTTTGACTTTGTCACCACAAATACTTTTACCTGTAATTAATCCAAAAGATATATGATTCCAGTCTAAGCAAGTGTCCATATAATATTGTAATACTACTAACTGTATACTTTATCTGAAGTCACTTGAAATACTGTAAAATACCGGGTGCGTTTTATATATCTATATTTAACACGCTCTTTTGCTGCAAAAATCGCCAAATTTCGCAGCAAATATCCCCCGTATAAGATCAAAGGCAGTTTCACCTACGCCTATGCGTGGACATAGCCACTGAGAAAGCGTGTATTTCAGAGCTCCGAACAAGTGCAGGTGGCTACTGAAAATTGAAACAGTTTAGCCAGTGCCGTGTAGCGGTGAATAAACGTGTTTTCTTTAGTCTGTCCGTGTTTTTTCATAGATTTTATTAGTTTGTGTGTTTTTGACTTTTGAATACTCAGTTTACTTGTTGATTTAATTGTTGTGTTGATTGTTCTTGTGTGTCCTAAATATGGCTTTTTGGAGACCTTGGGAAAATGCTCCAAGCCACGAGGAGATGGTTGATGGACCTGAGCAGGCAGAATTCTTTCATAAAGATTTAGAGGAACAGACCCAAATAGTAACCCTAAATATGTATGATTGTCTGAAAAACGAAAATCCAGATTCCTCGCAAAATCAAATTTTAAACAGAATTTGTATCCTGACAAAAATCAGTCGGTCTACCATTTATCGGGTTATAAAAAGGGGAGATGTAGTCAACCATTCCTTCCACAGAAAGCGCATAGGGCAAAAATTAAAAAGAATAGACGTGGGTTTTCAGGAAGATATTCGTCGTATAATATACGGATTATATAAAGAAAATTTGGTGCCCACGTTGGAAATGATACGGGATAAATTAAAAGATTATTCTGAAGATTTTTATAATTACAAATGCTTAGACTCACTGCACTGTATTGTAAAGCTGTGTGCTTTTCAATACAAAAAATTAGATAAAAGATTGGTGATTATGGAGTCGTCTCGAATCGTTGAATTGCGCCAAGAATTTTTGCACAAAGTTAAAATCTATAGAGAGCAGAAAAGAAATCTGATTTACCTGGATGAAACGTGGTATGATACCCATGATGTTGTGCAGTACGGCTGGGTTGACGACAGCAACAAGTGCATTTTAAATGCACCATGCAACCGTGGAAAACGAATCATTATTCTCCATGCTGGCAGTGAAAATGGATTTATACCTAATGCCTTGCTGTTATCTGCCAAAAATATCAAAGAATCATGTGCCGACTATCATGAGGACATGACCTCCCACTTATTTGAAAAGTGGATAGAGCAGCAGTTAATACCAAACATTTCCCCAAATTCAGTGATTATTATGGACAATGCGCCATACCATTCCCGACAGAAAAACAAAATTCCGAAGACAGGCAAAAAAAAACAAGACATTATTGATTTTATGAAGGATAAGGGAATGGAAATACCACAAAAATCAACCAAAGCCATATTATTGGATCTTATTAAAAGACAAAAATTTGAAAAAGAGTATGTTGTTGACAATCTGCTTCAGCAAAATGGCCATGAAGTATTACGTCTACCTCCCTATTACTGCATTTTTAACCCGATTGAGTTGGTCTGGGCTGCTTTAAAAAAAAAGTAAGAAAACATAATCAGACCCCTCAATTAAGTGAATCGCTATTGGCCACAATAAGAGATGCAGTATCTCATATTGCTGCCACAGACCTATGGAAGCAGTGTTCTAGGCATATTATTGAAAAAGAAAATGAATATTGTGTTTTGCCTCCTGTAAATCCCGTTGTAATTCCTCTACAAGATGACTCTAGCGACAGCTCCGAAGGCGAGGATGATATATAAATACCTATAATGTAAGTCTTTATATACCTTTTTATATACCTACTTGCTATGTAAATATTTGCCTATGTCAAACGTTGGAATTCTGTAATTTTTCCATTTCTTAACTTTCAGTCAACATAAATTAAACTCCCAATATAAGTATTTTTTATCCCAAATCAAAAAAATAAGAAGATAGTAAAATCCATTTATTGTGATATAAAAACATTATTATTATCGTTCTAAATAAATGACCGCACGCCTATGATACGTCATGAAATTACAAAGCACGCGCCGACCAAAGGTTTTTATGCTATTTCAAGTGACTTCAGATAAAGCATACGTAATAATGACTTTTTTCGTTTAAAAGGCATCATGTTACAGATTTACCTGTTGCATTTTGATGTCGTCAACTTGACAGGTATAATTTCCTTCTTCTTCTTTGGTCACCTCTGCCAAATACAAAGTACTAAACCTATCAACGATGACATTTGGATTAGAAGAATCGCCTGGCTTCAGGACTCTACCTTTTTTCCTCCAGATGACGGTGCTCTCCAATGTCGACTCGGGACAAACCATAGCTAGGTGTGATCCCTCGGGTATCACAAAAGTTTTTCTATATTTGAAAGCTTTGCTTTTCCCAACTTTCCATCCGTGGTTAACTCCTTCAGCGTCTGGATTGCAAACACCTTCGCATGCTTCGTCTTGAACGAAGTCTGGGACCACCCTAGTCAAATTACTGACACCTGTTAATCAAAAATGATGTCACACTTTGGTGTTCCGTGAACCACAAAATATCTTATCATACGTTGACAGATGTAAATAACCTTGGTCATCGAATCAAGGTAACAATGGGGAACTAGAAGTAGATGGCGCTGGTTAGGTTGAAGGTCACGTCAATATACGTCAAAACATACCTACTCGCGCTCCTCCAATATCATCAATCTCACTTACATCAATACAATACAAGTCTGAAATCGAACAACGTTATAATTGCCCGGGCTCGCAAAACCATTGGTCGAAGGTCATTTAACTATTAAGTACCTGGAGCTTATACATTTGTTCCTGCAAGCTTAACAGCACTAAAATCAAAAAAAGTAAAAAAAATAAAACTGGATCCTCAGCGATATGAAAAATGTTTTAGCTTGTTAGTTCAGTAAATTCCATGACACTGCAGACATCTGTTTCTTCGCAAATATTTTGTTTATCGTATCAACTCCATTATATACGAGCCCCTTCCCACTTCAGTTGGCCCAACTATTGAAATCTTAGTTTTTTTCTTATCAAACACAAATAATAAAAATGTAGCATGGTGTTATGGGTTTAAAATATTAACAAAGAATATTTTGATGTGATTGTTTTTATTAATCACAGCTGCCTGGTTATTAGTGAGAAAATTCGGTTACTGATAATTAAATTTTTTAATTCTGGGAAATCAAACTCAGAAATTGCAACTTTGTTAGACTTATCGCGGTACAGTGTGAGAAATATTGTTAGAAGATATAACGTAACTGGTTCAGTTAATATTAAGCCACGATGTGTGAAAAAAAGTAATATCACAAGTGCCGACCGAAGAGCATTAAGAATAATAATCGTGAAAAACAGGCGTGCCAATTAGTTACAATTAAGTGCTCTGTGGAGTGACGTTGTTGGAAGGAGAATTTCGAGGTCCACAACTCATAGAGAGGCCCACAAACTGGGATTTAGCACTTGCAAGGTAAGTTTTCTTAAAAAAAAAAGTGAAGTGAAAACCCAACTCGTTTATAGGCCAAAGAAAAGCCACTATTAACTCCACTGCAAAAGAAAAATCGGCTTAGATGGGCTAAAGAACATGGACAATGGACACCTCAACAATGATGTGCAATACAATGGAGTGATGAGGCCCGATTCGAAGTTTGTGTTGGTGACAATCGCAGTAGAGTTATTCGCAAAAAGACTGAAGCATTCCATATTGACTGTCTAAAGAGAAAAGTGTAATTTCCAGCATCCATTATGGTCCGGGGCAGTATGTCATCAAAAGGAGTAGGAAAAGTTTATTTTATTGATGGAAATGTGGATACAAACAAATATTTTTCAATTTTAGAAGAATCGCTTTTACCAGTTATGGAAGAATGTTTGACATCCGGCCAAGATTTTGTGTTTCAGCAAGATGGTGCGGCGTGCCATACCTCAAAAAAGGCTATAAAATGGATGGAAGAAAATAATGTACCACTTTTGAAATGGATTTCTAGCAATCCAGATCTGACACCTATTGAAACTTTGTGGCACTGAACTCCAAGGCAACAAAAGGAGACGACGTAATAATAACAGTAACGATCACCGAGTTGCCGCATTAGAAGTATACGACAATATAGTGAATTCTGCAAATGACAGATTCCAATTCAAAGATCATTTGGTAGCCGCATCCCTTTTTCTTCCCCGAACACTTTGGAGAATACTGTGGTAAGTTTCCTGATGACAAGTTGGAAGCTACCTGCTTGGCTTATCCCGAATTAGGAAAAGGTCGTTTAAAGACGGAGTTGTCTGTTATTTATGCACGGAATGATTGCCGAGATTTACATGGAACTCTGTCTCTTTTGGAATTTTTGATACAAAATACCTTGGAGGAAACACTTAAAGAAACAAAAAAGCTATTAGAAATTATTGTTACAACTACTATGTCAACATCAGAGGCTGAGCAAAATTTCTCAACATTGAAAAGAATCAAGTCCTTTCTTCGAAATACTATGACCCAGGGTCGCCTTACAGCGTTATCGATGCTGTCCAGTGAAAAGGAATTTATTTCGACCATGGAAAATTTTAACGGGAAGGTGATCGACAAATTTGCTGCCAAGAAGGAGCGCAGGATCGAACTGACATATAAAAAATAGGTAAGTTCCGATTTGCAGAACAGCTGTTTTATTTTGCAACGAGCCGCCACTGTTTACTTCGATGGTTGAATATGTACGTTCTCTCTCTCTCACTCTAGATGTATTTGCCAAACTGGTATCCAGTGCCATGAAATCGTGGTGAAGTTCATCACTATTTTTTTCGTGCCTATTGCTTTTACCTGGAAATAGTTTGTAGAGCTTCCTAGATCTACAAGACAATATTGTCACGTTCTGAAGGTATGCATCTTCGGCATTTCGCACTGGTTCTCCGCCTTTTACAGTAACTTTGATCCTACACCTGCCTCTCTTCTTCTTAACCCCATGATTATCAGGTCTTCCGCAAACGTCACAAGGACCCCATGGGTCCCATTGCGTGATCAGCTTAACAAAATATTGAAAATACTACTTTACAATACTATCACTCGAGAAAGTCTCATAAGTTCGGAAATCAAAAGTAATTATACCCTCAATAAACGATCGCGGATGCTTAAAACTATTTGAAATTTTGAGATATAGGCATTATTGATATATTCAAAGGTATGTTCGTGGGATGCAATTTTCGTTTGACATCTAGAATCTTCTTGATAACTTCAAACTTTGTTTTCATCTATTTCACGAGTTTATTATGTTGGTTATTGGATGTAATCAAAACGTTTTTTTTAGGCAAATCACAAAAAAATCCAATATTTGTTATTTGACGTTTCCGAGCTTCTAAATCACTATAGAGCAGGGTTTCTCAAGCGGTGGTTCGTGAACCCCTAGGGGTTCGCGAGCTATACAAAGGGGGTTCGCGAAAAAATATGGTAATGACGGAATTTGTCCTCAATATGGCAACACCAACGCTACAACGATCCGGCAAGAGTTCTACTTCGGCGAATCGAGCGCACCGAGACCTTTCTGGGAATGCACTGGAAAGAACTAGAATAACGTCTGCAGTTATAAAAAGGTAACGCAGCCACGGAAGCACGAGTACAGTCGAACGCGCTTTGTGAGCCGTACCCATGTCGAACGTGAAATTAAATATACTAAGTGACAATAAATCCGAACACCCAGTTTATATGGTTTTATTTTAATAAAAGTTGGTGAATGTATTTATCTTACTGTAAATAACAAGTGAAAAAATTTTCAGCCTTATCAGTTGGACATTCCGGTTTTTATACTGCTTTTTTTAATTCACTAACGCTCTAAAAATGAATATTTCAGCCGCAGTAAAGAATCAACGTTGGCGGATTTTGGTTCTTGACATGCTTTACGATCGGTTACGATGCCTAGAGTACGGAGACCTGTACGATTTCGTCAACTTAGTGAGTTTGATAGGGGCCGTATAGTGGGACTTCGGGAAGCTGGACTTTCTTTTCGGGCAATTGCAGTTAGAGTGCAAAGAAGTGAAGACACTGTGGTTAGGTGTTGTCAGGCATGGCTTCGAGAAGGCCGTACACAAAGAGCAAGGGGCACTGGACGCCGCCGTAGAACAACAGACCGTGAAGATCGCCGCCTATGATTATTGGCCTGAAGGGACCGTTTCTCCACTACCAGGTCCATTGCAAATGAATGGTTTGCAGAACACGGAAGACCTATTGGCATGCGAAGTGTTTACCGACGAATGAGAAGTTTTGGCTTGTTTTCATACCGGCCACACTGGGTCCTCCCTTTAACTCGAGAACACCGACGTAATCGCCTTGAGTGGTGCAGACAACGGTCACTCTGGGATCAGGAATGGAACAGTATTGTCTTTAGTGACGAGTCTCGATTTTGTTTAGGCATGCACGATGGTCGTGCCAGGGTTAGAAGGCGACGTGGTGAAATGAGGAATCCACAGTTTTTTGTTGAAAGACATGTTCATCACACTGTTGGAGTTATGGTTTGGGGTGCTATAGGTTATGGTTCCAGGTCACCTTTAATCTTCATCAGAGGTAACATGAACGCGCGGCGTTATATCCACGAAGTTCTAGAACCCCATCTTTTACCCTATCTTGACACCCTGCCAGATCCAACTTTCCAACAAGATAATGCCCGACCACATGTTGCAAGAGTCACAATAGACTTCTTTCAACATAATGATGTCACATTGTTACCATGGCCACCAAGATCTCCCGACTTATCCCCAATTGAGCACGTGTGGATATGATGGGTAGGAGATTGCTCAATTTGCAACGTCCTCCTCAGACTCTAGAAGCACTTCGAGAGGAGTTGGTGGTTGCCTGGAATCAGATACCACAGGAGGACATTGACCACCTGATCAGAAGCATGCCTAGGCGCGTTGGAGAATGCGTAGCACAACAGGGTGCATCCACACATTATTAAAGGTCAAAGGGCTTTAAAGCAGTGCAATCATTTTGAAATTTTTATCATTTACTTATTATGCTTCATTAAGTACTTATACCAAATTTTATTAAAATAAAACCATTTAAACTGGGTGTTCGGATTTATATGCCACTTAGTATATATATAATAATATTCTGTAAATTTAAGATGGATAGTGGGTTAAAAACGTTCAGTTTTGTGAACTCTGACGAAAAGCCAGATGAGCAATCAACTACTGCTCCTTCTTCGGTTCCCGATTTAGGCCCAACACAGGGTGGCGATATTGAAAGTTATAATGAGGTACCTTCTCGCCAGAGTAAAGGTAATGAGAAAATAGGCATGGTGGAAGAAAAGGAAAAAACGAAAATACGACCCTGACTATTTGTAAATGTGTTTTTATTTCATCGGGGAAGAGTCAGAACCTAAACCGCTTTGTGTAATTTGTAACAGTTGTTTAAAACCATCGCTTCTTCGTCGGCACCTTGCAACAAGACATCCGGATTACAAGGATAAACCTATTGAATATTTTAAAAGGAAATTGGAAGGTAATAAGAATTGTAGTGTTCCTTTTTTTTCTGTCGGCTTTCAACGCAGATAGTGAAATGACTCTTGAAGCATCATTTGGAGTTTGTTACAGAATCGCAAGATCTGGAAAAGCTCATACAGTGGCGAAAAATTTGATCGGACCTTGTGCTAAACACATCGCAATGTGTATGCTTGGAGAAAAAGCGGCAAAAAGATTGACCTTGTGCCCTTATCAAACAGCACTGTGTCACGGAGAATTAACGATTTGGCGAACAGTGCTGAAAGTAAACTTTTGAAAAGAGGAAACTTGAATTATTTTGCTATTCAGCTTGACGAGTAGACCGATGTAGCAAATTGTGCAATATTTCTTGAGTATGTTAGATATATATTTAAGAATTCCATTCAATCTGATCAATAACTCTTTTGAAAAACATGAAATCAACTGGTCATTTTGGTTAGGTGTATGCACAGATGGTACTTAAAGGTAGTTGGAAGCCAAGTTTAATCATCTGAGCGATGAATTGGTTGGAGATATTGGTGTAAAGATTACAAGCAAAAAATATGTGATTTAGATCGGCTATAGATGATTCATCACAAGAACAATTTGGAAGTCACCTATCCGATGGAGATGAGCAGGAAAGCAACCATGACCCAATCTCAATCTCGTTATAATTCTGGAGAATCCTCTACTCATATAGAAGAGATCTATGTGGGGACTAGAACATATTCTGGTCTTGTGGCTCGAATAAAGAAGATCAACGAGAATATAGAATGGACTCACTGCTGTATTCATAGGCAAGCATTGACGTGTAAGCGTATTCCTCCAGAGTTAGCCAGTACTTTAAGCTAAGCTGAAAAAGTTGAGAATTTTATAAAGACCCGTGCTACCAATTCTTGTCTATTCCGTGAACTTTTTGAGGACTTGGGATATCTCCACGTCTTTTTATAACTCCATACAGAAGTTACGTGGCCTTCTTGTGGCAAAGTTTTAACCCGCTTGCTTGAATTGAAGTCTGAAGTTCAGGCATTTTTTCTTGACCATCCGCTTCTGTATTCGACATTCCATGGCATACTTAACCGATATTTTTTCTAAATTAAATGAACTAAATATGTCTTTACAAGGTCCAGGAATCACTATTTTCAATGTTCATGATAGAATAGAAGCCCTGCTAAAAAAGTTCAACTTTTGGAATCAATGTCTGCAGATGAACAAGTACGATAGTTTTGGTTCTCTCAACAGATTTTTGTCGGAGAATAAAATTGACCTTAACGAAAACATCTAAAGAGATATTACTGAACATCTCAAACAGCTTCAATTAAAGTTCAAAGGTTATTTTTCTAATAAACCTGGAATTAACAACTGGATAAGCAATCCTTTTGAAGGAGATATAATTTCTAACACTCTCAATGTATAGATAGATAGAGATAGATAGACTTTATTGTCTTTTGGTCATAAATAGCTAGACTTGTCAACATAACATATACAATACATAAGTATGCGATATGCAAAAAAGAACAGGTAGTTAATTAAAACAGTAATTGAGATAATAAACAAATAAATAAATAAAATAGGAGTCATTACAAACACAAAAAAATTCTTAATGACATCTAACGAACATGAAAAAAAATCTATTTTAAATAAATAAAAACAATTGAGCACTTAAAATGTCTAGAAGAGGAGCAATAAATAGACTGTTTATTTTCCGTTAAGCTTAATAAATAAATAAAAAGAATAAATAAATAAAATTAAGCAGTTAGGTATTCGTCGACGGTGTAGTAACACTTTTCTTAGCAAAAAATTTAGTTACCGCTGTGCACAACATAGCTGTTATATTTTCAACATAACGTCTGATCAGGGGGTTCGCCAAAATATTCCAACTTAATAAGAGGTTCGCAGAAGCAAAAAGACTGGGAACAGCTGATTTAGAGCATTGTGAAGAAAATGTTTCATGACCAAACATTTTATGAAACCAAACTGATCTCATTTTTCAAGTTTCAGGTATTACGATGACAGTTTTTTAAAATGTTCTATAATTTTACAAGAATAATATTTAATCAAGTTATTTGACTTTTACATTTTTTGCTGGCATTTTAAGTGGAGCATTTAAATGAATGTGTTACCTCCAAATCAACACTGACAATGTCTCTCAACCTGACGAATTCATCACTGTTAGACTGGGTAAACAGTTTATTGATGGGAAGATAGTTTTGATCATGATACGTAAGCCAGGCGGAAATGTTTCCTGCTTCTACGCTCTGGGTTTCTTCGAATACGACATCCACCAAATAATTGAACCTATAAATAAAATCACGAGTCAGCGGATTTTGGGGGCAAAAACACTGGAGTTGACCATCCTCAAATCACTTTCAAATTTTGCATTTCTTGTAATAATAATAATAATAATAATAATAATATTTATTCACTCAATGTACAAAGATAACAAACAATATGAGTAAATAAATATAAAATCAAAACAGGCCCAATAGAAGGCATCGCCTGTACATGGACCAATAATTTAACCCGCCTGTAGTCGCGCCCTGGTTTTGTACTCTATTGGTCGCGCTGGGTTTATCAGACCCAAGCAAACTTTCCGTTTTCTTCGGTACAAAAAAGTAGTTTGCCTAGAATAACACATGAACCAGTATAGTGTTTGACATATGTCAACTCATACTTTCAAAAATGGAACATCGACGAAATAAAATGCGCTTATTGATACCTCTTGATAGATTTACATCAAAATGTCAAACTAAAAGCAAAAAAAAGAAAACAGTGAAATAAAACATTGAACGCAAAGATAATGATCTATAAGAAACATTGAGTTAATGAATAATAACAAATTAATTGCTGTCATTTTCAGAACCTATTTTCTCCCCGTAAGAGTCTTGACACTGCGAGAAACCTGTATTCAGTCGCGCTGGGTCTGAAATCGGAAACATGGAACAACACACTCAGCTTTGCGGTTGCGCTGACACTAATAACAGATATATAATCTTCATCATAATATAGGAAGGTAGTGGGAAGGAGACATCGGGCAGTGTTGTCACATATACGCAGTGGTAGGGTTTAGAGTCATATGGGTCAGTCAGACCCGGCGCGACTACAGGCGGGTTAAGTTGAAACTGTAGAATGCAAATGACAAAAAAGGACAAAAATTAGCTACAGTAGATAATGTATTTAGTTGATGTTCGTATTGATGAGTTTATGAATTTCAGTCCTAGATATAGAATGTAGCCACTTTTTTAAATTTCTTTTGAAACAATTTCCGAAACGTAAATCTTTTAAGTCTTTAGGTATAATTTCATAAAATTTAGGTGCTAAATAGAGTTATGATCGCTGCATTATAGATTTATGCGGTTGAGGAACTACTGTGCCACGAATTTTGTACCTGGTATAATGATTATGTTTAATTTTTTGGTCGGTGTTTAAAAATTTATGGTAGTGAGTGATACTGTGTAAGAAATAAAGCTGTCTTATATCATACATTCGAAAATCTGCGAATAATTTTTCAGTGGGATAAAGTTTCGGTTTTTTAAATATCATTTTTAGAATACTTTTTCGAAAAACATCTAAATTATAGATATGTGAGGAACATGCAGCTCCCCATGCTAATATACCATATGTGAGATGAGGCTCAATCAGTGCATGGTATAATGTTCGAAGATATTTTTCTGTCAATATATTCCCAAGCTATTTAATTTTGTAGGATACAAATCTAACTTTCTTTAAAATATAATTGACATGGATGTCCCATCGTAAGTGAGGATCCAAGACGACTCCAAGGTATTTTATGTTTGGCACTCTATTAATTTGCATTTTTTGATCATTAATGTTGAAGGAGAAATTTGTGTAATTTGGCAGATGTCTAGCATAAGATCCAAATGGTAAAAAATATGTTTTAGAGTAGTTAATGCTTAATTTTTTACTGTTAAACCACCGAATAGTTTTGATAAAATCATTTTCAATTACATTTTTCAGATCAGACCAGTCAGTGCCTTCATATAATATTGCAGTATCATCTGCAAAACTAGTTATTTTGCCAACACAATTAATTTGGAAAATATCATTTAAATATATATTGAATAACAGCGGACCTAAGACAGTTCCTTGTGGGACACCACACTTAATATACATTTCTTTACTAAATGATCCTGATATCTGCACAGATTGTGGGCGATTTGACAAATAATTTTCGATCAGTGAGTACGCGTTTCCTCTGAAACCAATTCTCTCCAATGCTTTAATAATAATTTGTGATTAACTGTGTCGAAAGCTTTCTTTAAATCAACAAAAATGCAGATTGTACTCCATATCTTTAACAATTTGATAATCCCCCATGTTTGCTGCCCAGTGAATCCACATATATTTGAAATTGTTCTTTAATGTAATATACGGTCGCAATGACGATCTCCTTCAGTGTACGACACTTTAGTCAGTCTCTTATTTATCTGTCTTCCGTCGGGAGCGGTAAGGCTGATTTGCTTGACCGCCACGGGGGCGATGCATACCGCGCCCACTGCAGCGTTGGAGGTCCTTCTATACCTACTGAATGAATGAATGAATCGTGAAATTAGAGGCATTCCGGCCACCATAATCAGCCAGTTCATAGACCGCTTAAACAGGCTCTTATGCACCTCTACATTCCTTAGATCACAAGCCTCGCCCTTTTAGCGAAGTTGAGAATCGCCCTGAGTCAAAGCTCCTTAACGACCTGAGGATCCAAAGTAATGGACCCCAGTATAGTCTGCCTATACTAGCTCAGAGCTTCACAGCGACATAAAACGTGCACCGAGGTCTCTTCCTCTACCCCGCAGCGCTCACACAAGGGATCCTCAGCCACAGGTGGTGCCTTAACGTCCCACCAGCAACCTTAGGTTGGCAGAGAGCCGTACAAGAGACGTACTATCGTCGTGTAGAGCCAGTATACCACTTTTTTTCAGTTTGCAATCCAGGATAATTCCCAGATATTTCACTGATTGGGATAGAATTAATCTAATCCCAAAGAACGTCTTCTTCTCCTGGTGAATAGGATTAGGTCGGTCTTTCCAGCATTAACAGAAATATCGACTTCCCTGCACCCCGATTCCACAGAGCGCAGTGCGCCCTACATAATTTCCGAGACTGTTCTACAAAAACGTCCCCTAACTACTATGCTCAAGTCATCAGCATAGACTTGCACGTAGATACCCACACTGCTGAGCCTAACGAGGAGTTCGTTCACTACGATGCACGACAGTAGGGGTGACAGAACTCCGCCCTGAGGGCAGCCTCTAGCTACGCTGACGCTGCAGTTTACGTCATTCAGCATAGCTGTTGCTACCCGGCCCTCCAGAGCAGATAGGACCGAATCTATTAGGATTGATCCAACCCCGTGCCTAACCAATTTATAGAACTACTACCATTACACTTATCTATTCAGGGTAATGCTCTTTCCCTGGCCCACAGGCTCACCGATCAGTCAGCAGGACAAAAAACACTATCAAAAGCTGCCCACGAAGATCAAGGCAGATCATGTATTGGTAACGCCCACGGACACAACTGCCCCAATGTACAATTTCGATAAAAACTATCAAACAATAGTACCAGAAAGGAAGGCGACTAAAGGATCTCCTATACATGCCAAAAGCTACTTGTACACAGACGGATCGAAAACTGTAGACGGAGTGTGGGCTGTGATTGACGGGGCATGTCCAAAAACTGAGATCTCTAAAGACCTGGGAAGCCGAATCAAGATAACATTGAGTTCATCAAAGAACGAAGGCGCGCTTTTGCAGACGACCTATTCGGACACAATACTAAGGTCATAAGGGCCATAGTGGGTCTCCCGACAGGACACTGTCGTCTAAATCGACATGGGCCTGACAGAAGAAGCCACATGCCGTTTCTGCAGAGAGCATGAGGATACCCAACGCATCTTCTCTGTAACTCTGAAGACCTGGCAGATAGTAGGAACCACAGGTCCAACAGCGGAAAGCTACATGCAAGGCCCTGTGTCAATGCTATGGAGTCTGATCAAAGATGCAGAGCTTTAAAAATTATCTAATAGGTCACAATAGATCCACTTGGTTCGCAATGACTTTAAGGCTGGCAAGCCAACCCCTGACATCTTTAATCTGTATCTGTCTTCCACTTCGTTTGTTTTTTCTTTACATTTTCAGATGCATATACAGTTTGTTATTACAATAGTCTGAAAGGCCGGTAAGATCCCGAGATTGCGCGAAGCCATCATTCCAAATTTTAAGATGGACTCCAGCCTCCCAAAACGACAAGCTAGCATGAGGTTATCTGTCAATTTTTGAAACCAGATACGTCACCCCCATCCATCGTTCCGAAAACGCCAAAAGCCCTCAAAACATCGCGAAAACTGCTATCGTAACACACCGTTTAATTTTTATGCAATCTTCGACTAAAATGTTACAACTGCACTGTTTACTCGTTTGGATCTTAAAACGATGTTAGGACGATGTACCATTAGAACAGTCATGATAGCCACTTAAATGATATTGAGTTTCATGTATGCGAATCTGACGATCTCCACTTGCCAAGTTGATCTTCATCCTCACCCCATACGATCAAAGATGACGGAATATCCCTACGGTACCTGCTCTCAATTGCTCAATGTTCTGCGACGCACCATTGAAATGGTCTACCTATCTAGTAGACTGGATTACCAAATATCTCTCTACTGCTTGACCCATACCACACTGATGAGCTGCTAAAGAGCACGAAACAGCGCCATCTGCGGTTGGTCGCGTTACAGAGACCGAAAGCAACCATATCCGATTCAATTATGTTTCATTTTTGAATATCAAGGTTCGGCCTTTTCAATAATTCCAAAAATTTGAAAAATGTTCATTAGTTTCTATTTTATAGCCAATTCAAATTCCAAATTTTGAATGGGCGACCCTTTGGTCCTTTTAACAGAGGTGACCAATACCAATATTAAAAGTAACAACACTGCTAACCTTGAATCTTAATGTTGAACCTGCCATATTTTCCGTCATGCCAAATATCTTACGCCTTGATATACGACAAGCTTAACTACTTATTACTGGATACCACAAGTATTCTGGTAGAGATAAGTATGAGAGAAATCACGGCGAATTAACCAATGCGATCTCAATCTCTCTGAGAATACGAATATAACTGCTAGAACTCGTATCCTGGCTGTATCACTAATTCTACTTGGCTGGTAAAACTTTACCGATGTTTTCGGTGCCCCCATATTTTGTATGATTCAGCTATAGTACCTGTCATTTCCGTTAACGTCGCCCAAGTTCCAGCAAAAATATAGCCCACCGTCAGTCTCGTCTACATTCTTGATGATCAGACTATGTTCAGTGTTCACTGTCATCCTGTTGAGTTCCATGTCGTTGTCCATGCTCAAGCGTACCTCCCTTGGTGTGTCCCATCCTGGTCTGCTGCTCTTAAACCAATTTTTGGGTTCGGTGGGTGGATTTAAATCACAATAATGACACTGTAGTACCAAATTGTCACCAGGAGCAGCATCAACCAGCTTATAGAAGTCTTCAGCGTCTGTTGCTATAGGGCGATTCGAATCTCTGCATATTATTTGGTCGCCTGGGGAGACTGGGATCGAAAATGTTAGGATAATAATGAAAATCGGTATTTCTTTCATTGTAGATGGATGTGGAATAAGTGACATTTGGAACGCGTTGAATACGCTATAAATGACAGGAGAGTAGATCATTTAAATGTGGCAAAAAACTCGCGACAAAAAATAATGTTTCTAGAAAAAGTTATATTTTGAATTAACAACAAAAGTTTTATTTTTCAAATCTCACTGTCACAACTTCAGCGTTATATCTGGAATTTTAGCAGAGAGGAACGGTACATCATGAAAAAATTTTCCATCGTACACAGGTTAGGAATCTTTAAAAATAGAGGTGATAAGATAAAACATGAAAATACTAATATAGGATGGATACCTAATTAATTAAGGATGTAATCAGTTTTATACTAGCCATTTTTTGTGCTTCCTCACTGTACAAAAGAATAGCTTTGCTTGCACTTCTCATTATCAACTATACTAAGTGACATATAAATCCGAACACCCAGTTTAAATGGTTTTATTTTAATAAAAGTTGGTGAATGTATTTATCTTACTGTAAATAACAAGTGAAAAAATGTTCAGCCTTATCAGTTGGACATTCCGGTTTTTATACTGCTTTTTTTTAATTCATTAACGCTCTAAAAATGAATATTTCAGCCGCAGTAAAGAATCAACGTTGGCGGATTTTGGTTCTTGACATCCTTTACGATCGGTTACGATGCCTAGAGTACGGAGACCTGTACGATTTCGTCAACTTAGTGAGTTTGATAGGGGCCTTATAGTGGGACTTCGGGAAGCTGGACTTTCTTTTCGGGCAATTGCAGTTAGAGTGCAAAGAAGTGTAGACACTGTGGTTAGGTGTTGTCAGGCATGGCTTCGAGAAGGCCGTACGCAAAGAGCAAGGGACACTGGACGCCGCCGTAGAACAACAGACCGTGAACATCGCCGCCTAAGATTATTGGCCTTAAGGGACCGTTTTTCCACTACCAGGTCCATTGCAAATGAATGGTTTGTAGAACACGGAAGACCTGTTGGCATGCGAAGTGTTTACCGACGAATGAGAAGTTTTGGCTTGTTTTCATACCGGCAACACTGGGTTCTCCCTTTAACTCGAGAACACCGACGTAATCGCCTTGAGTGGTGCAGACAACGGTCACTCTGGGATCAGGAATGGAACAGTATTGTCTTTAGTGACGAGTCTCGATTTTGTTTAGGCATGCACGATGGTCGTGCCAGGGTTAGAAGGCGACGTGGTGAAAGGAGGAATCCACATTTTTTTGTTGAAAGACATGTTCATCACACTGTTGGAGTTATGGTTTGGGGTGCTATAGCTTATGGTTCCAGGTCACCTTTAATCTTCATCAGAGGTAACATGAACGCGCAGCGTTATATCCACGAAGTTCTAGAACCCCATCTTTTACCCTATCTTGACACCCTGGCAGATCCAACTTTCCAACAAAATAATGCCCGACCACATGTTGCAAGAGTCACAATAGACTTCTTTCAACATAATGATGTCACATTGTTACCATGGCCACCAAGATCTCCCGACTTATCCCCAATTGAGCACGTGTGGGATATGATGGGTAGGAGATTGCTCAATTTGCAACGTCCTCCTCAGACTCTAGAAGCACTTCGAGAGGAGTTGGTGGTTGCCTGGAATGAGATACCACAGGAGGACATTGACCACCTGATCAGAAGCATGCCTAGGCGCGTTGGAGAATGCGTAGCACATCAGGGTGCATCCACACATTATTAAAGGTCAAAGGGCTTTAAAGCACTGCAATCATTTTGAAATTTTTATCATTTACTTATTATTCTTCATTAAGTACTTATACAAAATTTTATTAAAATAAAACCATTTAAACTGGGTGTTCGCCACTCCTAAATTATGGAAAAGACATGTAAAGAGCAAGACTCAAAGAATAAAACGTTGACGAAATGACAATTGAAGGCATACATATTTCATGTTATGTTGATTATCCGAACGCTCGAAAAAATCATAACCACAAAATTCAGACGCACCATTCCTATAATTTTTACTTTCCACGCCTACTGGCGAGGAAGTATTGTAATCTCCAAACTTCATCGAAAATGAGATATGTTTTTTGGATGCGATATGAGATGTACATCACAAATTCGTTTTTTGACGTTTCAGTTTCTTAAAAATCTTGTAAGGGTGAAAAATTTATATACAGGATGTTAATAAAGTATGTAGACGAACTTTAACCATCGAATTCTTGGTCAATTTGAAGACGAAATTTCCATATGAACATGGGTCCGCATCGGCTTTGTTTTCAAGCTAAAATTATAAAGGAATGCAACTTATTTTGTTTAAGTATATATATAAAGTATGCCCTTTGGTGAATATGATTCACAGTTGTTTTCACACCCTCTATGTACGTAGATACGGATAAGGTTATCCAGTATTTTTTGAAAAAATAGCATGACATTGATTTGTTTTGCTCGCAATACATTTAATATTCAAGCAATGTGCTTATCTAGAAACCTCTGACGCAACCGAAAACAATTGAATTAATTTATTTTCTCAAATAATTCATGCCCACACATTTCTTGTAAGAAAACTATTCGATATTTTCTATTGTTGTCGCACTATTCGAATGTTACTGTTTCATCCACGTTCATATTGAGTCTCAGCAACTTGTAAAACATGCAAAATTTATAATAGGTTATACCAACAATCAGGAATTTCTCTCTGGGGGGAGGAAAAATATTTAATTTTTTGTTATATATCTTTGAAGCTAACCTTTTTCTAAGAAGGCCGAACATAATCCTTTACGAATTGATGACAGCGTTCAGTGAAAGTACAGAGTCGACTTACTTGACCCCATTTTCAGACTATCTTGTCGTAAAAGTATAATGAAAAAATACAATTTTAAGAGTCCCTACCTAGAGGACACTTTTTAGACCTATACCTTGTATAACTTTCAACATGTACGTTTTCAATTTTAAAATAGAAATAAAATATTGTCATTCGATTGATCTTAATTGAGGATATCTTCGGTTCATTTGTTATACATTATGAATGATGAACTTTCTATTCGTCTATTTGCTGATTTATCATAATTTCTTCAGAGTTCTTTTATTTCGAGTTCTTGTAAAACATATGGACCCCTCTAGACAGAAGTCCTATATATGCCACTGTCTCAGTATCTACGCGATTGATGCACTTTGAACTTCAACATCTTTCTCATATATACGTATATATATATATAGGTGAAAAAAAAGCTTCCACCTTTTGTTGGGTACTTCGACAAAATTTAAGCAAAGAGGACTCTTTATACTTTTTTTAATTCTCTCTAGCTTTCAATGGACTTTGCCATCATCATCAGGAGAGTAGTATGTAAGGATGTTGCTAATTGTTGTTTACGTATAGGATGAGGGAAACGTCCAGTAACATGGTGAGAGCTGGATAGATGGTGCAATGGTCAAAATTATATAAAATATGACAAGAACACGTTAAAAACAGATTAAAAATTATTTAAAACATTAAAGCATTACATCGTGAAGCCACTTGATGATTGCATGTTCAAAATTTTAAGTTGATATTTTGATCCACTCCGGAGATACAACTTTTTGTCAACTTGTCTGCCGGTAGGTGGGTTTTAGGGACCATGCTTCACAAGTATTGCCACTGTTTTTAAGTGGCCTCATATTAGTTCTAATTACAGCATAGCTTTTTTGTTCCGAGTATTTGAGTATGAAAATTCACTTACTTATTTACCAAATGTACTTTGTACGAGTGGTAAAAATGCAGAAACTTAAATATTCAGCAGACGTTCGCGATCACAATACTTAAGTGAAATTAAAAATCGTTTACAATAACTACATTCATAAAAGGCTACTGCTTTGTTTTATATCAAAGTCAATAAACTTATTATGAACATTCTTAAAAAAGAAGGTCGACATGGTACGCTAAACAATTTGTTATTAACCAGTATGATCAAGACTGTGATGGTTGATATGATAGTATAATAATAATCAGATTCGGTTTTATGTTGACATTACACTTATTTTTATCTTTTAGCGATGATTAGTTAATTATAGTAGTTGTTTACGTATGCAACATCATGCGTCTGTTTAGTTTCAACTACAATTCGCATTAATTTTGATGATCAGGTATGCTAATATTTCGTTTAATTGAAACGTTCATAATGAGATTCTAGTTTTATATGCTTATTACAATTACTATTATTTCAGCTTATGGGACATAATTTTCATTTAAATACATTATACAGGGTGTTTCAGTTTATTGTTGAATAACTTTAAGATTCGATAGAACTTTTAAAACTAATGCATAATATCTATATAAACATGGGTCGAAAAATGCGTGGCTTCCGAAATACAGGGTGTTTAAATTTACTTTCTAAAATAGTTTTTTTTAAATATTTCGAACAATATTTGATGTATAACAGTGAAAAATGGTATACAAGGGTTTTTTGGTACGAAAAAACGAACCATGGGCATAGTTTTACTGTAGCCGCTAGAGGGCGCTCTCTACTGTACCTGTAGTGTATTAAAATGACCGAAAAATTTTTCTTAGTGCAATTTTTTGCTTTTTGAATAAAAAAACTGATTCTTCGCACTTTTCAACATAAAGAAGCTCTCCTGTGAGTTTTCGTTATAGTTAGCCGTTTCTGAGATATTTCGATTTTTAAGGTTCTATGTATTTTTAATTATTTACGGGAAAATCATATTTTTTTTACATTTTCGATTTGGGCATTACAAGTAATTAAGATGATCGTTTAGATTGTGTTTTTAAACACAGCAATAATTTCTAACTCCAAATAAACACAAAAAAACAATATTAATTTGTTTAATTTTCCAATATTACTTTTAACACATTAAATTAATTATTTACAACTAAAATGCTATTGGATAGTTAGGACAAACATACAAAATCTAAAGTAGTTGCTTGAAATGTAAACCCAATTGTTCAATACACAATACACATCTACGAATGATCGAACGTGGTATAGCATTATTCAAATAAGGCCTTATTTCATCACATGCATTCCTGATTCTGTCTATTAGCATATCTCTTGTGGTTACGGGAGTCTGGTACACTTTTTCTTTTAGAAATCCCCACACAA